CAAGTCCAGATGTTTTCCCAGTGGAGAAGAGAGCTGGCATAGAGCCAGTCCAGAGTGAGGAAGCTCTCTGTGTAGTGAACCAGAAAGAGTTTTAATATGCACCAMGTGAAAGGGGCAGAATAAGGTGTATTATATACTATTTTTATCTAAATATATTCCTATATGTAGTGTATTCTACATTTATCCATTGCTTCCTCTCACTCACCCTTCATCATATCCACTCTGGCTTTCTGCTCCTACCACCTAATACCACTAAGACATCCATGTGGCTAGGACAAGACACTTTCTTCAATTCTCACCTAACTTACTTCCAGCAATACCTGACAACAATCCCTTGCTTTCCTTGGGACACTCTCTTCCTAAGCTTCAGTGACCTCATTACCTGCTCTTTTAATTCATAGAGTTCCTTAGGGCTTACTTCCTGGCCACCAAACTTTTCTGATTTTTTTCCACTGGCTAGCTTCAATTACAAACTTATAATCTAGGCAAGAAGTCTCTACTCGCCACACACACTTCCAGATTATCTACTCAAAACAACAACTCAGATGCCTTAATGACACCTCAAAGTTAATATGCCTAGAACCAGATTCATGATCACTTCATCCAACCTGTTTAATCCTGATTCTATAAATGGCACTATTCTCAATCAAATCCTCAAGAGGCAGCCTCTTGTTCTCATCATCTCATCAACTACCAAGACTTTTTTATTCTACCATATAATATATTCCAAATCCATCCACTTCTTATTTCTACTGCTACCATTCTATTATGCATCTTGCCTTTGATGGTACCAAACTCTCCAATTTACTCCTTCAGTACATCTATACTTGACCTCACTATGGATTCATTCTTCTCTACCTGACTGCCTGAAATGCTTCTGCCCCTACGACCTAACAACACTAAGACTTCAATGTGGCTCACCATAGCCTCTTTCTTCCTCTTACTGAGCCTTCTCCCTAGGCTATCTTAACCTCACTCAATGTTTTAATTATCCTCTATGGACCAGGTTCTTGCAAATTTACATTTCATACTCAGTCCTGACATCTCCAGTTGGATAACTGGGCCAACTAAAGACAACTGAATTTAATTAATTCCAAACCAAATTCATACCATCTCCCATACTCGATCTCCTTCCAGTGAATGATATTTTGTTCTTTCCAGAACGAGCCACCAACTAAGCAAGTATCTCTAACAATTCCATCTCCTTTATTTTCCTTATCAATTCCATCTCTAAGTCCTATTTTTACTTTCCAGATATCTTTGGAATTGGCTTGCTTCTTTCTATGTCCATCAGAACTAACCTAGCCTTAGTCATTTCTGCATTTACTATAAAGCTGGAAGTCCACTCTGGCCAGCCACTATTTTAGACAATAGTGAAGTGGGAATGAATGAAAGAGGCAATTCTTCATAAGGGAGCTAACAATGCAAAGAAAGAGACAGATATAAATATGTACTATTATGCAGTGATAAGCATGCTGAGGGGAAGAAACCTGTGGAATATGAGGAAATGAGTCATGCATGCATGCGGTCATCAGGAAAAAGAATGGGTATTAATCAGGAAAAGCAAGTGCAAAAAAAGAGATGAGAGCCAGGGTGATTAGAGTTCTTGCATAAAGGGAAGAGAAGAAGTAGATGAAGGTCAAGAGGCTAGACCATTATAGGTCTCTAAAGGCCACAATGAAGATTCTTGATTGTATTCCATGGGATGGAATCCTCTAAAGGCTTTGAGCATGCAGCAATATGACATAATTTACTTTTTAAAAAGATCCCTTTGATAGCTACAAAGGAAAGATAAGTTGATGGCAGCAGGGGGAGGTAGAGGGCCCATGTATGGGTCTTTGTTGGAGGGCAGGGGGACAGCAACAGCACTAATTCATACATATTAAACAGGGCTGCAGAGTATTGTGACTTCACTGATACTGTATAAGAAGTCACTTTTTAAAACCATTGCATGCCACTTTGGTAGGGCTGCTGCTAATCTGTATAGCAGCTTGGGCAAATCAGGAAAAGATGCCTTTCCTTCAGGCAGATGCTGCCCAGGCAAACCTCACTAGAGCATAGCAGGTAACACTCAAGGTGACCACCCTGCATTTCAGTCCATCTTAGATGGCTTCTTGCTTTGAGAGGACAAAAGAATTGGAAACAATGGGAAGAAAATATTATCTTTCACTGCATAGAATCTGATATTTTTACATTTGGGTGGGAATCAAACTTATGAGCTGTACAAACAAGTTTAACTCCATTATTCTTAGTACAACTATTCTAGAAAAGCACAACCTCAAATGATTATGCTTTTGGTTCATATTCTAAGCAAGAGACCCAAATCAGAAATGCAGACCCTTTGAGCCATATCTTTTAACTTAGAAAGCCAGGGATGACACAGGTTGTTTTTCTCATAAGTTTTTTTTTTTTTTTGAGGGGGGGGCTTTGTTCCTATTTATTAACAGTTCCGAATTGAAAARTAACTTTGTAAAAGTGCATTCTGAGGCTATTGGAGGTTCTAGGGAATCCTGCTCTCAGAGCATGAGCTTTTATGTAACTAGCTTTTCAAGGGTTAGGATTTTGGTTCTGGCTGAAAGTTAATTATAATAGTAGGTACTTCCAAGAACATCCAGGTCCTTCAATTGTGTTCTTGGGGAGTGAGCTTCTTTTGGGAAGGGCTGTTTAGAGGACACCATAATCCAGGGACATGGGTGCCTCACCAGAGTTGTAACACATTCACACCACACATCAGCTCCCCTAGGACTACCACCTCATGTCTACCTTTCACCAAAAAGAGGAAGTCCACCCCATGGGGTAGAGGGTAACAGCACAGAAAATAGTTTTGATGTCCTTCAAGGCTGTCTTCTGAAGCCGAGAAGGGGTGAGTTGAGAGGCGAGTGCCTCTCTGAACAGCCCTGAATCTTGGTACTCAGTCTAATCCCACTCACACTTACCTCTCTCATGAAGGAGACTCACTCCTCCTTCAGAAGCTCCCAAGGCAGGTGATTTTTCCTAATCACAGGTTATGATTCTTTCTCCTCTTTCTCTGATCTTTCCCATCAGAGTCAGGCCTCATATAATAGCCAGATTGATGCCTCCTAACTCCAGAGTTTCCCTGCTATCTGAGCTCTCTGTTTATGTTGGGGTGGTTTCTGGCAATTTCCAAAGAATTAATTTCTCCAAAATGAGGGTTAAAAGATAGACAACTAGGGTTTCCATTTCAAAAATTGTCACCTTAATTGAGAAGTCCCCAGCATGGGCACTGTTGTACCAAGGTAGTCTGTCCTGTGCTCTTTCTTCCCTGGGCTGGGACATGGGAGGCTGTCTCTGACCGTTTGACTTGACGTAGCCTCCTAAGTGTCTCCTCTCTATGTTCTCAGGCTCCCTAAGTCAGTTGGAAGCTGCTTCTGTGGAGGGTGAACCTGTGCAACTCCAGGAAACTCACAACTCTTCAGCCCTTCCCAGGCTCTSCAATTCTCAGACCAAATCCTGTTACAGGGCCCGGGCTCAGCAGGATCTGTTTCCACTGCTGTCTTCTGCAGTTTCTTCTACTCTTCTTGCTTGAACTGACCTTTCTCCAGACCTTCCCTGGGAACACTTCCTATGCCTCCACAAGCTCAAATCCCCAGCCTTTCTTGGTTGACAGCCACCTCTTCTGTTTCTTTCTTCTGATAATTTAACCTCAGATTTGGTCACAAAGTCCTTTCTCGATTAACCATCTCTCAAATGTTGGTTTCCTAGGATTCTGTTTTCTGCTCTGTTCCTTTACCTGGTCAATTCAAGGTGGCAATTACCCCTTTGAACTGAGGATTCCCTGACCTCTATTTGGAGTGCCAACCAGTCTGTCTCCCTTACATAACTGCCCATCTGTAACCTCTACCCATGTATGTTACTCACATCTCAAATGAAAACCATTCCACACTGAATTCCTCAGACTTCCTTATCAAGCTGGCTCTTCCTCCACCCCCTGATCCTCACTAGCAGGTGCCTCTAGTCCAGGCCCACTGGCTTCCTGCCTGRATTCCCATGAATTCTGTGAGGCTTCCAACTCTAGTTTTGCCTCACTTCAATAATGCCTCCTAAGTGACCATTCTTATTAACTTCCAATCAAGATACCTTCGTGAACATATTCTCTTTGTGAAAATTAAAACATTACATGAAAACAAAGTCCTTTTTTATTAGATTCATTCCAAGAGCAACTGCTGTTACCAGTTAAGGTGTGTCCTTGTAACTCTGTGTGTTTTCCAAACCTTCCTCTCAGTGCTTATTTGCATATTTCACAAACACCTAATATTCTTTAAATATAAATAGTAACATATGGTGATATTTTGTAACTTGCTTTATTCCTTGATGTGCCTTGCAGCTCCATCCACATTAGGGTGTTCTTTCTTTCTAAACTGTGGCAACGTTTGCAGGGTAAGCACACATCATTGTTTATTTAGCCATTCCTTTATCAAGGAACATTTGTTTCTGATTCAGACCAATTTTTCTAAAATATCAGGGATAAAAAAGTTCTTCTGCTTAAATTCCTCAAATATTTCTGGCTATCCATGGAATAGTTCAAATCTCTTAGAGCTGTACCAAAAGCACTTACAATGTGGCCCTTAGACAGCCTCCCATCTCATTTTCTTCCTTGTCTCTTTCAAACCTGCAGATTCAGCTAGAATGAATTATTTATAATCCCTTAAATTACACTGTTTGTTGAATGAATACATAAAATGCAGCCCTTTTCAGAAATAACAGGAAAGAATAAAAAGAGCTCTAGAGAGATTCATTATGGGCAAAGAAGCAGAAGCTCATTTCTAGGGGCCTGGGCTTTCCCTTCCCCATCAATTTCTTGAGGCCTGAGAACCCAAAAGGAAGTTTCCCAATTAACACACTCCAAGCTGCACCTTCCTCTGAACCAGACTGATACCTGCAGCGATTCCTCTCTGAGCTTATTTGCATATTTCACAAACACGTAATATTCTTTAAACATAAATAGTAACATATGGTAATATTTTGTGCCACCCACTCACCAAGAGAGGTACTTCCAGAATTTTCTTTCTCTACCTTCCAGGGATCTTCTCCCTCCTGCAACAGGGAGATCACCTTTGGTTTGATAAATGGGAGTCCTCCTAATRGAAAATAATTAAAATTTAAAAAAACTCAGAAAAACACAAAACGAAGATCAATCTGTTACAGAGATTACATGTGGCCCACAAAGCCTATACTACCTGGTGTTTTATAAAGTTTGCTGACCCCTAGAAAAAACAAATGGGAAAGGCAAGTGGAAGGTCCAGAGGTTGGATGAAGCCTTCTGCCAAGAGTTGCACACACCACAGAACAATCACAGTGGGAAAATGATACCTGAACTATGAAGAAACTTCTAATGTGTAATTACATAGAAGGAAGGTGATGGTTACCAAGACCACTTCCTCCATTCCTATACACAGGGTAATTCCATGCCTGTAAGGGGAACATGTTCTCAATGTTTATTTACAAAGATATGATTTGTATAATCATAAGGCAAACCTCAACTTTTTTGATGGCCAACAGCTTTTATTCAGGGAAGCAGGTGCTGAAATCTAATTTCTGAACTGTGTCCAGAGGGGATTTCCTTACCCAGTGAGGCCAGGTTACTAWAGTTCTCCAGCATCACCTCCCGATACAAGCTTCTCTGGGAWGGATCCAGCTTTTTCCACTCATCCCGAGTAAAGAGCACAGCCACATCCTCGAAAGTCACTGATACCTGTAAGAACAAGCCACTCCAGCTCTCCCAGGACCAGCCCTCACACAGCATATAGATGGAGAAAATGGAGGACAGGCTACCATGAAATCCTGTTTATACTATTTAAGGTTCTCAAGGTGCCAGGTCTTTTATTTAATGAATATTCATCCAGTGACAAAAACACACCCAACAGAAAGAATTATGAATGTAGCTGCTATATCTTGGGATCTTGAGCGACCCCCCAAAGGCCCAGGTGTTAAAGACTTGGTTCCCAGCCCAAGATGCTTTTGGGAGGTGGTGGAAACTTTAAAGAGTTGTGGCCTAGTGAAAGGAAGTTAGGCCAATAGGGTGAGCTCTTGTAGGGGATTTGGGACTTTGGCCCCTTCTTATTTCTCTCTCTCCATGTTCCAACAGTCATGATGTGAGCAGCTTCCTCTGCTATGCACTTCTGGTCATGAAGTAATGTTCTACCACAGGCCCAAAATGACAGGCTTAAGTAACCATGGGCTGAACCTCTGAAACCATGAGCCTAAATAAACATTTTCTCCTTACAAGCTTAATACCTTGGTATTTTGTAATATCAATGGAAAGCTGACTATCACACCAGCCTTGTGTTAACCACTACAAAAGATATGTAAACAGATTAAGGCCATTAGTGGGAAGGTTAATTAGAACGATCTGACAGATTTGATAATAAAGCCCGGGAATGTTTATATTCTTAACTTACCAATGATTGTATTTGTACTATAATGAACAGTACACAAAATTGCACATACAAGAAAACTTATCATGGTGTTTGCAGTAGAAAAAAATGGAAAAAACCTAAATATTCATTGATGAAGACTAGGTTAAATAACTTAAGACAGGCAATGTCTGCTTATTTGAATTGAAGATAGTAATTACAAAAATTAAAATAGCTGTCAGTTATTAAATGCTTTCTATGGGCAAAGTACTGCTCTTAAAGCTTTATGTTAATCTTTTATGTATAATCTATTTAATCTTCACCACAATTTAAGAAGGTAATACCATTGTCCCCATTCTACCAAAAAAAAAAAAGTACGAAAAGGATAAGAAATATATCCTTTAAAAGTCACACAGCTGGTCAGTGATAGAAATGGAATTCCAAACCCAGTGGTTGTCCTAGACTCCATTCCTAGTCAATCTGTACATCTGCTTCTCAATGCTACCTCATAGGGTTAGGAAATATATAAATGAGATAATCTATATAAGAAGCTGAATTTCTTTGAAGAAGCCACATCTATATTTTGAATTTTATTTTTATTGGTGCATTATAATTATACATAATAATCAAACTTATTGTGACATAGTTGTACATGCATATAACATAAATCAGTCAGTTTTATTCCCCAGTGCCATCTATATTAAAGATCAAGCAGACTGACCTCAGCTGAGAATATCCTGATTATGGAGAGATGGCAAGTTGCAGGTTGAGAGTCAAAATTAGCTTGGGCTACATTATGGCCTTAGAAAAAGAGTCATTTACTTAAACTTTTGTATCTCACCTAACATTCTCCTATTAGGTAAACCTCTTAGAATGTATTAACGGCTTAACAGACCTCTAGTCTCCACCAACCCTAAAGCTAAGAAGGCTGCAACAGTCAATACCTATAGGAAAAACTTTCCCTTTCTGCTACAGCTCACCTACCTACTGGCCTCACCAACATATTTCTTAAAAATATTGATTCATACAGTTTCCCTTAAACTGTATGGAAATGGAAGGAGACCCTCATTGTTACACAAAATTACATATAAGAGTTTGTGAGGGGAAAGGGGAAAAAAAAAACAAGGAAGAGAATTGAATAACAGCAGATGGGGTAGAGAGGGAAGATGGGAGTGAAGGGGAGTGAGGATAGTAGGGGATAGGAAAGGTAGCAGAATACAACAGTCACTAATATGGCATTATGTAAAAATGTGGATGTGTAACCAATGTGATCTGCAACTTTTATTTGGGGTAAAAATGGGAGTTCATAACCCACTTGAATCAAATGTATGAATGATGATATGTCATGAGCTTTGTAATGTTTTGAACAACCAATTAAAAAAAAAGAAAAAAAATATTGATTCATGATTTTTGTTCTTTGGCTATAAGTTCAGGTAATCTCTTCCACAGCAGAACAAGTCATTCAGGCAACTTGAATCCATGTTTCTGTGCCACTCATACTTGGTTCAGAGTAAGTTATCTTATTTTCTTTAAAGTCAAGTTATTGTTTTATGTTATCATTTACAATGGAGATGGATAGTGATGATGGTTCCTTAACAATGTGAATGTATACACTTAAAATGTCACTGAATTATACACTCAAAAATGATTAAAATTATACAGTATGTACATTTTAGAATAAAAAATTTAAGGTAAAATACATATACATATGCACATAGATAAATGGACATATAAAATGATTTTTATGGATACACACCAAAGGGCTATCAATGGTTATCTCTAGATGTAGAAGCAAATGACTCTTTACTTTCTTTTTTAAAATGTGATATCATGAAATATACACTTGGTCTTCATTCCATTTCTTGGCATGGAGCTCCTAAAATCCACAGAATCTTCAAAAGTGATGAATGACAAGTGATTTTTTGTATGCTAAGAACTGGCAAAAGCTAGGAGCTGACAGTGAAGTTGGCCAATGATTTAATATATAGTGCCTGTGTTAATGGAGCCTCCAGAAAAACTCGAAAAGAAAGGATTTGGAGAGTTCTTTGAGGGTGGCATACCATACCTCATTTGATGCACCTCTTTATTTGTATCCTTTCTGATAAATAAATAAATAAAATAAAGGTATTGTTTCCATTTACAACTAAAAATATAAAAAAATAAATAAATTGAATTAAAGGACACCTAGCAGGGTCTGCTTCTGTAGCATTACTTGCTCTGTGGGTGAGGAATCTCCCTGTCCTGCCACTCCTAACAATGTTTCGAGAGTATAGTGGGAAAAACTGACTTTTACTATTCATATGTTTTTTTTTTTTTTAAATTCTCTGAAATTTATACCATGAGCATGCAATATATGACAAGAAAAACAATTTATTGGTATATGGAAGGAATATAAGAAATGATCTTTGCCCTCTAAGAATTTACAATCCATATTGTACACAAAGAAAATGCATTAAATGATTTGAACAATGAAAGACAGCTGTGTAAAGGTTGTGGGTATAGTTCATCGGTAGGGTGTCTGACATACAAGAGTCCTGGGTTAGATCTCTAATTCTGCAATACAAMAAAACTGGCAGGACAGGTAAGACCATATGCCATCTTCTACTTCAATCTTCATTTCAGAGACAAGGAAAATCAAGTTTAACCAAGAACTGAGATCCCATGCTTTTACCAGTGGCAGCAGCAAGACCATAACTTAAGTATTCCAGTTGTGAATCCAGCACTCACTCTGGTCTTAAAGTTCCTGTCACTGAGTTTTACGTACCACATCACCCCGTACTAACCCATGGGCAGCAGGTGAGGATAGGGAGATGCAGTAAAGGGATTCACCTATACACAGGGATGAAGAAAGTTTTGGGCAGAAGAACAATTTGGCCCTGTCAGAATAGAACGGGAAAGGCTTAAAGAAAACAGAGCAGCTGAAACATACAATGGTGGGTCCTGGCCATAGCCTCAGAAAATGAAACTCCACCATGTTTGCGGATCCCTGGAATAGGTAGCTGGGTCTGTCCATACTCTGAATGACATACCAGAGAAATGGCTGGTCCAAGCATGGATTGAAGGTCAGATGAACCTGAGAATGAACTTGGGTTACTTGATTTCTTTGAGCCTCAGTTTTCTCTTATGTCTATAAAATGGGGATGTTTTAGTCAGCTTTCAGTTATTATAGCAAACACCTAAGGTGGTTTATTATGGTTCACAGTTTTGGAAGTTTCAGTCCATGATTAGTCCTGTTGTTTTTGGGCCTGTGGTGAACATGAAGGAGAGGAAGCCCATTCATCCTATAGCTGGGAAGAAAAAGAAACAAAGAGGAAGAGGTCAGGGTCCCAGTATTCCCTTCAAGGGCTTCAAKTCAGGTCACACTTCCAGTGACCTAACTTCCTCCTACTAGATCCTACTTCCTAAAAGTTCCTCTGCCTCCTAGTAGTACCACAGGTTAAGGGCCACTTCTTAAACATATGGGTATTTAGAGACCATATTATATAGGAGATAATTGATCCAAATTATATAGGGGATAACTGCCATGCTGTTGTGAGAATGAGAAATAACAAATGCAAAACCCTCAGAACATTCCCCAGCATGTTGGACACTCAAGAAATACCAACTGTTAATTAGTGTTAGATGAAGATAAGTAGAGAAGGACTAGTATTTTCTGGGTCCTAGAAACATTGTATAATTAAAAAAAAATTATGATGCTGGGGATAAAACCCAGGGCCTTATAAAAAAGCTAGACAATCACTCCACCTCCAGTTTTTACTAATTTCTATCCATGAAATTAATAYTATTATTAATATAGTATCATTCAGCTACCACAATAAGCATACACTGAGCAATTATTATGTGCCCAGCCTTGATCCAAACACTTTTTATGTACTAACTCATGTCATCCTCTCATCTATCCAAGGAAGTAGGCATAGCTGTTATTTTGATTTTATAGGTGAGGCACTAAGAGGTGVAGTTATTTGCCCAAGGCCCA